AGGACGAATAAAGACTCTATAAAACTTGAAAAATACCTTCTTAAACTAAATAAACAGGAATACTTGAATCTTTTGAAATTTAGAACTGGGAACCATCGTTTTCTTGTTGAAAACAGGCCAATGGGTTGGTCAGGATAAACATAAACGCAAATGCCTAGTCTGTGATTCTAATGACGTAGCAGACGAATTTCGCTATATGTTACAATTTTCTTTTTTGATGATGAACGTAAAAAATGTATTAATAGTTATTATTATAATAGACCTAATATCTTAAAATTCAGGCAGCTACTCACAAGTAATTCAGCCATACAACTTAAGAAAACATGTAAGTTTATAAGAACATTATTCAATTCTAGACAGTGAAAATGGTAATATTTTGTCGAACAGGTGAACATGTATATATCCACAGGCACGAGTATCGGACCACATTGATAAAAAATTTCTGTGTTCATCTTAAATGTGTCAAAAAAAGAGAGTGGGAGTGAAATATAAGCCCCCTTTAAAGTATACTATTAGTTAAAGCTACATTAAATAAACTTTATAAAAAAAGAAATAGCTACATTTCGTTAATTAAATGTGTTTCATATCGACTCCCGATCTTATTTTGGTGTCCAGACAACCAACATGAGTTTTATAAGCGAAATCGGAAGTACAATTTCTATTTGCATGAGAAACTTCGCCTTAGGTTCATCCGTACATTAATATAAAATCAACAAACATTTTTAAGTAGCAGTCCGAATTTAACGGTATATTTCCGCATTATATTACGGATGTTTTCATACAAATTAAACCTTTTATGAGATGATACTTTTTAACGATAGGGCTAATGCACCGTGAAACTAAAACGGTAAAAGTTTGTTTGCACAAGAATATCTCACATTTGCTGTGATCCACATGGTTACAATTGATTTTAATATTGTGACGTAGCGCATACACGAGCTAGTTATACAAGTCTTCATTTTCATCTCAAAATTTGTATATGAACTTTAGTGTTACCGTGGGGTTTTCCTTTTAATATCATAACTTATGAACAATTTTAAATGAGATTTACAACAATAATGTTAAAAATGTTAACGAAGGTATATAATGCTTCGTTTGTAAGCCGGCGGAAAAAAGGTTTTCAAATTTTATTTACTGTAGCTTTAAAGGGGCTACACTGAGGTCTGACAGGTAATTTGGTGTCCAAAAAAAATGTAAACAAATTTCCTCACAAATCACAATATTATGACTAAAATAACAATAACTTACACTTTAGCCAACCCTCTAACAACAATTATGCTAGAAAATGCATTTTCACATTAGCTTTTGATGCAAAAATGAAAGTTGGTTTTCCCAGACATGTACAGAAGTTACCCACAATTCATCAGGTATAACTAAAATACGCAACGGACATTTTTGGAACAACAGAGTAAACGGGGGTAAAAAAGTCTATTGATTTTTTCTCAACACTCTAACCTATCATGTTTATATAACGAAGAAAAACTGTATAAAAGATAATCAAGGTAGCAATTTCGTTGTCTTGAAAAATCAAACGCCAGCGAAGCGGACATTTTCTAGACAAAACGGAAAGATATTATATACATGTACAATTATTTTCATTGACTTTTCAGTTTCAATTTCAATATTCTAAGGCAAACATAATGTATCGGTGATATTTATACTATAACGAGCACAGTGTAATCACACTAATAAAAGTATTTAACGCTATCTATAACGTATTTAAATCAAATACAGTTAATGACATGTCTCATTTGATTTGTTTGTTTTTGGGATGGAGTGGGGGTTACGTCACACAAAACTGTGTAGGTCATTTTGGCGACTCTTCAGTTTTACTGGTGGAGTAAGAACTCAGATGCCCCCTTTGCAAAATTGTTTCTGGCACAAACGGGCATCTGTGTATGTAATGAGTGACGTTTCGTAGGTTATCTTGATAGGATCGTACATACACGTTCCACCCACAATTACATCATGTTCATACCATAGGCAAAATTAAATGCACGTTCCCTGTTGTAACAATATGAAACCTCAGAAAAAACCTATGAACAAGCTTCTGAATATGGCATTTCTATCGTTATTCCACAAAAAGCACTCCCCGCAAAAAAAAAGAATGAGTACATCGATGGGCATGCTCTGGAGTGTTGGGAACTATTACCTGCACTCCAGTTACGCACTGTGCATGTATATGAATTCGATTTACCTCTGACACGTTTTCAACAGAAAAGTCTTCAAACTATGATACAATAAATGTTTATGATTCTATTAGAAACTTGTGTAGAATTTAATGATTTTTCGGTGAAAACGATATAGTTTACTTGTACTACAGATAAGATCAAAGTGCTGAAGGCACTGAAGAAAAAACCGGATAAACTAACACATTTTCACTCCAGTTTCACAGGTAAATTAATTTTATATGTCGCGGTTTACATCTTAATATCAGGTAACCTTTGCTTTTTGAGACTTTTGTTTTTGAAAATAATCTAAACGAGTAAAATAAACCCTCTTTTATGGGCAAATAACTTAATAAGTAGCATCCCCGATTTCTCTTTCATAAATTGGCTTTAGCAAATTCTTTTCTATTCAAATATTAAGAACATTCTGTCAGTGACGTGTCTTCTACTTGAAATCTTCCTGGTGTGTATTTTTCGGTAACAGGAAGAAAATGACAATCTGTTCGTATCTTTCGGTCGGTACAAGTCAACCCGGCCCCAAGTCAACCCGGCCCCAAAATTGGTCAACCCGGCCCCAAAATTGGTCAATCCGGCCCCACGGTAATTTTATTTGGTCAACCCGGCCCCAAAATTGGTCAGTGCGGCCCCAAAATTGGTCATTCCGGCCCCAAAATATATATTTTTCAAAGAAAACTTTTTAAGTCAATTTGTTGTATGATGGAATAAAAATGATTTATTATTAATTGAAGATTATTAACCAGTTTTCCGAAGGAAAAAAACTGGTTATTAGATTGAGGTATGTCGGTGGGCGGATAGGCGGGCGGGCGGACTGGCGGGCTGGCGTAAACAATTTCTTCTGACTGCGCAACTCTTCCTACATTTCTCAACGGATTTTGACCAAACTTTCACAGAAGCTTTCTCATCAAGTTCCGTTGCGCATATTTTCGGGGTTTTGTGATTGGATAATTTTTTACCTAATTATGGCCCTTTGTTCTTTTTCCTTATATAGAATATATTAGTGAACAATTTCTTCTGTGATCAACTCCGCCTACATTTCTCTACGGATTTGACCAAACTTTCACAGAAGCGTTGTCATCAAGTGCCCTGGCTCATATTGTCGGGGTTTGTGATTGGATAATTTTTTTACCTAATTATGGCCCTTTGTTTTTTTTCCTTATATAGAATATATAGTGAACAATTTCTTCTGTGCGCAACTCCTCCTACATTTCTCAACGGATTTTGACCAAACTTTCACAGAAGCTTTGTCATCAAGTGCCCTGGCGCATATTGCCAGGGTTTTGCGATTAGATAATATTTGACCTAATTATGGCCCTTTGTTTTTTTTCCTTATATAAAATATATAGTGAACAATTTCTTCTGTGCGCAACTCCTCCTACATTTCTCAATGGATTTTGACCAAACTTTCTCGGAAGCTTTGTCATCAAGTGCCCTGACACATATTGCCAGGGTTTTGTTATTGTTATATATTTGACCTAATTATGGCCCTTTGTTTTTTTTCCTTATATAGAATATATAGTGAACAATTTCTTCTGTGCGCAACTCCTCCTACATTTCTCAACGAATTTTGACCAAACTTTCTTAGAAGCTTTGTTATCAAGTGCCTGGCACATATTGTCGGGGTTTTGTGATTGGATAATATTTGACCTAATTATGGCCCTTTGTATATTTTTTCCTTATACAGAATATATAGAGAACAATTTCTTCTGTGCTCAACTCCTCCTACATTTCTCAACGGATTTTGACCAAACTTTCTTAGAAGCTTTGTTTTCAAGTACCTGGCACATATTGTCGGGGTTTTGTGATTGGATAATATTTGACCGAATTATGGCCCTTTGTATATTTTTTCCTTATACAGAATATATAGTGAACAATTTCTACAGTGCGCAACTTCTCCTACATTTCTCAATGGATTTTGACCAAACTTTCACAGAAGCTTTGTCATCAAGTGCCCTGGCGCTCACTAAATTCCCATGTTTCTTCCAAGACATCAGTCAAGTATTTTTTTAAAATTGTGAACATACTTTTCTTGATATCGCACAAAACACCACACGCCAATATTGTTGACAAAAGAAAATGACAAGAGACGCAAAAATGCAAAAATTAAGCAAAAATAAAGTACTGTTTACCTTTCTAAAACATTTGGGGAAAAAAGGCGAATAGACAACATAAAATTTCTCAATCATTTTTGTTTGAGGAATATTAAAAAAGCCATAATTCCTCCTAAAAGTTCAATTAAAAACAAATGCCCCTTCATGACAAAGCTTCTGTGAAATATTTTGCTGAAAACCTGGTTGCATCGCATTGCGATGTTCCTTGTTAACTATAGAACAATAGTAACCAAAAGTGTCGGTAAATTTAATTGCGCCGATTACGCCCTTTATATATGTGATAATCAAACAGTTTAAAGCAATCAATTAACAAAAAAGGTATAGCTGTGAAAACAAATCCTTTTAATAAGTTGGAAGTATCTTTCATGTCTTTATTCGATGTAAATTAAAGATGGTTTCGTGAGTGTTAATGCGATAATTAGGAAGAAATGCATAGAATTAAACAGGTTGCCGCAATCGATGTCATGAAATCTGCTGCTTCTATCGTCTCTGAAGCATCGGATGGTGTTGAAGGACTGGTGAACGTGGGTGAATTGCGACCTGATTACGTAGCAAGGGTCGTCAACCGCTATCGGCAAGAGTTAAGACCAGATGAGCCTGTAGATATGGATTTTGAGGTAGGCTGGGTTGTTCCCTATTTTGAACATAAAACATAATTTATATACAATACTTGCATCATAGTAAATAGCAAGAGGACTGTAACCTATAACTGCAATTCGACGCTATACATAGGAATTTATTATGATCGTTACAGACTATAAGCCACGTTGTATAAAGAAGAACGCTATTTAGAACAGTTTTGACTGTATATCCCTATTTTGGTATATTTCTTTTTTTCCAGTTGGATGTGAATGCTATCCCGCATGACTTCTATCGTAGAGAGGTTAAGGTTGAAGACAGACGTCACCTTATTTTCGCGACGGACAACTAGCTAGATGTATTATCTCAGGCACGTCGCTGCTACATTGACGGTACTTTTAAGGTAATTTGAAATAATTTAGTCAATATACATCTGAAATTATCATGAATTACATTGATTTACAGTCATTTCTATAATTTCAAGTTGAAATCCATCTACATAACTATCACTATATCTTTGCAGGTGATGCGGGCTCCGTTTACGACGTTGTTGTCAATCCACGCATTTGTCAGACGCGGAGACTGTTCGAAACAAGTGCCGTTGGTTTTTGTAGCCATGTCAGGACGTAACAGTCAAGACTACGAGAAAGACCATTTTTTGCTAATATTTGAATAATTTATCGTTTAGTACCAATTTAAACTAGTTACACTGATAACTATTACTTTTTGTTTTGTTTTCACAGATATCGATCGAAAGAGCTATCCGCAACCGCCCTGTTGAAGCTTGTGTCCACCATGTACAGGCCGATACTAGGTAGACGCCAGGCAGAGGAAGACGACGAGTGAAGTGTTTATATGTGATGAACATTGTAGGGGTGTGTCAGGAACATTGTTGAACTATATAATATACAAGTTGCTTGTTTGTTGATATTGATAGTTGATATTGATAGTTTTTATATAAAATAAATAATAAAAGATATCATCATTGAACTTTTGTTTTTGTTGTTAATTTTTATCTTATTTCTTGATAAGTGTTTACATTTTAAAGCAAAATAAATAATAAAAAAAATGGGGCCGGGTTGACCAGAAATAAAATTGGTTTGGGGCCGGGTTGACCAATTTGGGGCCGCGCTGACTTGGGGCCGGGTTGACTTGGGGCCGGGTTGACTGTAATTCCTTTCGGTAACAGGAAGAAAATGACAGTCTGTTCATTTGATCATGACTGTGAAAAATCATGTTTTGTGAACCAATTTATCCTGCCGATAAAGATTTTGCAAGCAATCTGGTGGTTTATGTTCTAGTGCTTACACTTAGTATTTAATCCCAAAGAACATTTCTTAGAAGACCTTTAACGTTTGATTACGGTATAATCACTATAACCGAAATACATAGGCCTGTTACTGTGAAATTTTTCGTTCATGTGTTTAAAATACTTCAGTAGCTCTATAAATTTTCAAAACGATATCCAGTATTTCCGAAACAATTTACAAAGGCTTTTAATACACAATCTTATAAATCTTAAAGTATTACGAGAACCACCCACCTAATCTCCAGAACATACATACGAAAAACAAGATAAATCAAAAGGCTGCAAGCTCTGTGGTATTTTCTGATCTTTGCAATCTAAATCGCACTGTATAACTGTATTATTTTCCTGTATAAGTTTATTTTTATGTACTATAATTCTTCTTGCTTGGTACCAGAGTTTGATACATATGGAATTTTGCATGACTATCTAGAGTTGCATCAAAAATCATTTATGTTCATTTTTATGACAGCCACACTTTATCCTTGTATATCGTGGCTGTTTCCATAACAAAGGAACTTTATAAAAAATAATTGCCTTGAATTGGATTTGAACCCCAGACACACTAAACGAGCGCGTTACCCTTGCACCACGGAGAAGATATACGAACAATGCCTGAATAAAATCAAGTGATACTAAATTTAGATTTTCCGTTGCATTTCGGGTTAATTTCGAGGTTTTTTGTTCAAGATAAACCTGTTGTTTAATATTGATGTAAATAATTTAACAAAAATCTTCTCGCCAAAACAGTCCGACATGTATATATTCCACTACTCGACAGTCAGATTTATTTGTGAAATACGCTCTCGACATCGCTTAAAATAGCATTTTCATTGATTAAAATGATATTCATCCGCGTAATTTGTGAATGTGCATTCATTGACAATTCTATAACCCAAAGCTACTTTTAAACTTTTGAATGCGTTGTAATTTGTTGTATACTTATAACAAAATGAAAATATTTCTTTCTTTTAAATCGCTAGTTTTTCAGCTGTTTTAAGAACTGCTTGTTGTTAGGTTTGTCGTGAACCGCTGTGTCAGAGATTGAATGTTAGCTTTGTATTTCCTGATCTTCGATCAGAAATACAAAAAGGAATGTTAACATTCAATGAATGCAACACCCACACGACCAAGCAACACAGGACCACGGCTAAAGTATCAATGAAAAATTTAATTTCAGGCTTTCAAGTGGTAAATAAAAAGACTAAACAAAAAAAATGAAAAACAGGAAGAAAGAAGAGACAAAAGTAGAGAAAAGTAAAGGTTTTAGTGCTATAAAGCAAGAAAAGCAGGGTTCTCTTCCTAACTTATTTATGCAATGAAATGCATCCGATCAATATTTGGCCGTTGCAGTTTTTGAAACCAGTCACTCGTGTTTTCACAATAGTCGGGAAATGAACCTGACCTTTTTTTATCAAAATATTTACAAAACTATTAACAATGAGTATGCCATGATAAACAGGCTATAAGGAGTAAAAACAATGGTTAAGATATGCATTGCCCTTTCCCAAGTTTGTATACCGTCTAGGAGTTGGAAGTATTATAATATATAGTTTCAGCAATGGTTGTTGTATGAGGTGAGGTTAATAATATCTTACTGAATTCTTAAAGTTACTTTTACTTACCTGCCCTTCAAATTTGTCTTGCAAGTATCATGATTTTGTTTGTTTTGTTAAATTTGAAAGAAAGTTAGGGTTTAAAGAAGAACAACTATATAATCAGTTTTAAGTTTATTTCACTAGTCCCGACAATAACCTTGCTGTGGAAGCTTGACTGTGTCTGGGGCTGCGTCCTGTGAACGTTGCCGTCGCCTTGATTGTCTTTATTCCAGTTTTCCTTTTTTACTCTTATAACGCTCTCAATTTCTTTTCCACCGAGAAGCTTCAATATATTTGTTAACATTAAAGCACAGCTCAATTGACCCATCATTAGTACGGATGCCTTCCAATAAGAAAGAAATTTATCAGGATATCTTCTAAATCAATAATGATAATAATAATATTAATAGACTCTGAGTCAGATTGTAACTCTTTCCGACCTTCTTGATAATGTTTACCATGTGCATGAAACAGGTATCAATTACCTATAGTTTTGAATGTCTAGATCAAAACGTAGTAATCTTCTCATCAACAAAGGTTTACATCCAATGCGGATAAATATGCAAGTATGTATGTAAAATGATAAATATTAAATTTCAGATCTATCTAGCAAAGGAGATCGATTTTTTTTTCTTATAGAATTTTAATTATATGCACTAGACTACATAAGAATTATTAACTAATAAAGTTGAAGCCTAGATGTCCTATAATGAGGCCGGATTCATTCTCTATTTAGCCAGTGCTTTCAGTGCTTTGATCAGAGTTAAAAGAGAAATATCTGGAATAACATTCTGTGTGTGCGTGTGATTTTTTATGCTTACAATACTCAAGTTCATGTCCGTTGTATAAAAGGTATTACGAAGTTTTTTTTTCCTGAACGGGTGTCAGATAAACCAAAGTGACCTTTGAAATAGGACCCATTACACTGATTGACAAAGTAAATTTTCTTAGCCTAGATATCATGATATTTTAACCATTACAAAGTTAATACATATTATCTAATAATTACCCGAAAGCTCTCAAATTAACATAGAATATTTGTAAAATTTGTGTATGTCAGTTTTCAACTCCGTACGTTTAGCTAAATTCATCATTGTAATGGAGAAAAAAAACATGATTACAACAATGTAATGCTTTAAATATATTGAAATTGCTTTTGAAAGATTTTCTCACAAGAACATATGTGAACAACAAGAAATTTAACAAACAAACCCAAAATTTGCTTTTAAATTTATGGATTGTTGGTATATTCCACTTTCGCACTTTCGTTGCTGCCGATACACAAAAAATTATCCGTTTTCGCTTTTTAGTCATCCCGAGAATCATCACGTGACCGTTGTTTTTATTCAGATTTGCAAACTGAAAGGTGTTTAAACGCTTTTTTCCCACAAAATTGGAGAAAATATGTATTTCAAAACGACTTGCCAATCCAAAGAACACATATCAATGTATCACTGATTCTGTTTGAATGTCCCTCCAGGTAACAAAAAATTACGGTTCGTGAAATTTTAGACATTCGGCCGTACCTCAGTGGAGTACCTTTAAAACATCAATTGATATAGTTCGGTTTCATCAGTTTTGTCGTGAAAGTCGTTTTACGAGTTTTTTTTTGTGACATAAGAATCTGTAGATTAATCTCTCAGATGGAAGTACATGGCAAGAGTTTTATGTATTGAATTTACGATGATTTGTGAGTAGTTGTATGACAGATGTTTCGTGTATTGACATTTTCATTTTTGTGTAGCTGTATGACAGATATTTAATGTATTGACATTTTCATGATTTGTGAGTAGTTGTATGACAGGTCTTTTGTGTATTATCACTAATTTTTTCATGATTTGTGATTAGTTCTATGACAGGTCTTTTATGTATTGACATTTTCATGATTTGTGAATAGTTGTATGACAGGTTTTTTATGTATTTGCATTTTCATGATTTGTGTGTAGTTGTATGACAGGTCTTTTTGTGTTTTGACATTAATTGTTTCATGATTTGTGAGTAGTTGTATGACAGGTGTTTTGTGTATTGACATTTTCATGATTTGTGTATATTTGTATGACAGGTGTTTTGTGTTGACATTTTTATGCTTTTTGGCCGGGTTGCACTGGTGCAAACCCGGGTTATAGTATGGTGAATGTTGGGCGGCGGGCGGGCGTCCGGGCGGCGTTCGGGGAAAAACTTTCGTAACAGTTTTCTCAGCAACTACTTATCACAGCCTTTTGATATTTGGTATACAGCATCAACACATGGTCCCATACTGTGGGATACGATTTCAGGTTGGTCACTCATCTACTTCCTGATTGCTGACCTAGTTAAATTTTCAACATTAATGGTCAATAGCAGGAAATTTTCGTAACAGTTTCTCAGCAACTACTTATCACAGCCTTTTGATATTTGGTATACAGCATCAACACATGGTCCCATACTGTGGGATTTGATTTCAGGTCTGTCGATCATCTACTTCCTGTTTGCTGACCTAGTTAAATTTTCAACATTAATGGTCAATAGCAGGAAATTTTCGTAACAGTTTTCTCAGCAACTATTTATCACAGCCTTTTGATATTTGGTATTCAGCATCAACACATGGTCCCATACTGTGGGATTCGATTTCAGGTCTGTCGCTCATCTACTTCCTGTTTGCTGACCTTGTTAAATTTTCAACATTAATGGTCAATAGCAGGAAATTTTTGTAACAGTTTTCTCAGCAACTACTTATCACAGCCTTTTGATATTTGGTATACAGCAT